TTATCCCTGAGCATATAGCCTGCCTTCTTGCCAGGGGATCAAATACCGTTCACTAGGCATTCTGGACAGACCTTTGTGTTTCTGTCTTAGGAGCAGGCTTGCTGGCAATGATACCTGGCATTGAAAAATCCTTCCTTAAGCCTTTGTTTAATGCTAGAGATCTCAAATGCTTTCAGATTCTGGAGCGGTGCCAAATTGTGCTCCCGGATTAGGTGACGATGGAAGGACTCCCATAATCTATAAACCTAATATAAGCTACATTGCAAATGAACAAATTGTTTAGACTGTTGGACAGAGTCCCGGGTGTTTGGAGTTCCTTTTTTAGCCTATGCAAATTCTGAGCTATCGGACTTTTATAATTATGGTCTAATTAGCACATTATGATTTGTGCTCCTTTGAGGTGAGCCTTTATAAAAAATCCAGCCAGTTCCTTTTGCTGACCTCTAGGATGGATCACTGCTACAAGCTAGTTGTAACACTTTCTCATTTCTTTTTTTGTCAAAGACCTTGGTGGGAAATGTGAGTTAGAATGATAATCAGTTTGGGCTGGCCCGGTGGCGCACTGCTATAGTGCGCCGCTTGGGAAGTGCGGCGGCGCTCCCGCCGAGGGTTCGGATCCCACATACAGACCGGTTCCCGCTCACTGGCTGAGCAAGGCGCGGGAGCAACACCGAGGGCTGCGATCCCGTTGCCGGTCCCGGTCCGGTCCGGTGGCGACACTGAGGGTTGCGATCCGTTGCCGGACATAGAAAAAGACAAAAAAAAAAAAAAAAAGAATGATAATCAGTTTACATGCCTTAAAGCATTGTAGGGTGCATGACTGGGCAGATGGGGATAGATAAATCCATCGTGTTGTGCCTAGATTGCTAAAGGCCCACTTAAACATAAAAGCCCTTTTGCTGTGAAGTACAAGATTATTCCATACTGTGGACAGTCTTAAAAACTCTGCGATGCTCTTTGCTCTGCCTCTTTCGCTGCCAGTCTGGGATTAGACTTAGAGTAGGTGTGTCCAGATGGTGAGCTGAGTATTGCCCAGAACAAGAAAAATCTTTTTAAAGGTTTGGCCATGGTGAACTCCTGGGATTTCTAACCGGAACCAGCCCCGTCCTCCCTGGTGGCTTCGGCCCCCTCTTGGGGTCAGAAGTCCCTGCTTCTCCCAGCCACCCCAGACTGTGAGCCCTTTCACATGGCCCTGCTTCTGACAATAGAAAGGGCTTATGGTGCCAGCCGTAACATTGGGTAATGCCGGGAGGTGCCTTCTAGAACAAACAATGTGGGTGAGCTCTGGAGAGAGGGAATACCTTGGACTTGACATTTAAATTACTGAATTATTTAAATGAATATCAATTAGGTAGAGTAGATGCACTGCTTTCTGCCAGGGCACTTCCTGGTTATTTGCACAGGCAAATGTAACATATTTCACATCAGATATAGGACTTCCTGTCTGTACTGTGAAGATCGGTCACAGAACGTGATTACCCATTCCTTGCTGGTCCTTGACGTGTGCTGTATTTATATCACAGTCTGAGAAATTAGGGGTCCACACACCCTTACCTGTGGCCTTTAAAGGGGTTTTATGATCCTTATTGAACTTCAGGCCCACCTCAAAGTATCACAAGCCTACACATGTTATGGTTATTCCTAAATTTGACAAGTTTAAAAAAGTGAGTTATATTGAGGCCAGCTATATTCCTTAGAATTGTGAATACTAAGATCTCAGAATGTTACTACTTTGCTTTTAACCTTCTTGTTGAATTAGTAATCCTAGTTCAGAAAATCTTTTGGCATCTCTTTGAATTCACTCTGTCAGATGAAATAGCGAAGGTGGTGGAATTTAACGTGTGTGCCGCACACAATTATTTTATTCTTATGAATTTAGGGTCTTCATTTAAATTTGGGTGAATACGAAAAAATATGTGAGAGACTCTGCTAATTACTTGTATGGGAATATACCAATTAAGAAGATTAAATATTGGGTGAGGAGCAAAATAGGAAAGAGAAGTTGGTGAAGATTTTGTACTTTCCCATTAGGTAACTGCTGGACTCAGCTTGTGCGTTCTGCACATCAGAGACTGAGTTGATTATTCCATATCAGTAACAACTGTCTTTCTTTGCTATTTTTCTTTTTCCTGATTGTGGAGTGTAGGACATGAAAACATTGATTTTTGACGTCTTATTGGAAAGAATCACCAACTTAAAGGTAGTCAACCCCTGGTCATCTATATGCAACTATAGGAAGTAGTAAAAGATTCAAGGAGAGTGTTTAATTAATGAGTGAATCCTTTTGACTTAGTTTATGGTCCTGCAAGATTAGGATCTGATTAAGATCAGTACTGCTTTATGCCCACATACACTGAAGAATTGGGTATAGTGAATTGAATTTTACTAAAGACAGTGTTTACTTAAGACTGTTCACTTCTGGCAAAATTCTCTAGGTTACAGTCCAAACATCTGTCAGAATGTCTGCACATCCTGTCAAAAATTAGAGACGTGGGAAAGGCAGTGCCCTTCTTGCATCTGTGGGCTTAGAGTTTAATTTGGGCTGGAACTTTAGAAACAGTTCACTCTAAGAGCACATTAGAGAAATTATTATTTTTTTTAATTTAAGATTTTTAATTTTTTAAATTTAATTATTGAAATATAGTTGATTGTACTTATCTGGGGTACAGAGTTGAGTATTATTACCTGTTGACATTTTTTTTATTAGAACCACAAAGTGTCATTAACCCTTTGGTACCCTGGACTGTCCATTTCTATAGGATCCGTGATGAGTGAGCCCTCTGTAGTCTGTAGTTACTTGTTGGCTATTGCTGTTCCTAGTGGACTGCGAGTTGAGTAAATCATATTCCTGAATGCACTATTAGTCCACGAACAGCTACTGTCCTCTTTTATTTTCATTTTACTTCTTGTCCCTCCCTCATCCTCAACCCAGCATCAATAGGCACATACTCTTTGATGTGTTAGATATATGTCTTTGCATATTTATGATCTTTTAAAAATATTTAGGGTTTTAAAATATATGTTTGTGTTTCAAATTTACATAAATTGCATCATTTCACAGTTTTTACAATATAATCTTTTAAATTCCCTACTGTAGATCATAAACAAATCAACATGACACCGTTAACTCTCCTTCCCACCCCACCCATTTGCTTCCCTCCAAAGAATCATCACCTGTTGGGCAGCATAGTTGGCAACACTCACCCAGCTTTGGGCCACTCAAGAGTGGCAAGCATGTCTAGACTCCCTAGAAATATTATCTTTCAGCTCTGCTTTGGCGAGTGTAAACTTTTTGCTGGATTATGTCAACAGATATATATGTTTCTCATCCTCATAGAAATAGATTGCTGCTGGAATTTCTCTTGGATTTCTCCAGGCAGGGAAAATAAAGACTATCTCTTTGCTCATTAAAATTTTTGCTCATTAAAGATGTCTGAGGGCTCTTGATTCTCAGGGGTGAGACTGGTGACATACATAGCACTGTCAGCGGCTGTTTTGGATTTTCTGCTTTCAGGCATGTCTTTGCTCTTGGATGAGCCCCTTGTGGTTTTCAAAAGAACGAGCAAGTCAATTATAAATAGAATGCTTATGTCTGTGTGTCTGCGTGCACTTACTCTGTGGGACGAGGCACCCACATTACAGTGGGCAGTGAACTATTTTTCCACTTCTTTGAAAAGGAAAGAAGAAAGATTAAGAACGCTTTTTTCTTTTTGAGATAACCCACATCTGTACCCACACCTACACTAATCTGTGTAAATGAACTTGACATTCAAAGACCTTACCTTAAGGTCTTCTCTTGAAAGCACAGCCACCTGACCTGTTATTTTAAGAAAGCAGCAGTTATTTCACAGACCCACTACTGAGGGTTTGAGGATTAGAAGGCAGCCTCTCTGTGTCGTAGACCTTTGGAAGGAGCTCTGAAAGCGGAATTTCCTTATATGTACAGGGCCCGGGTGAAAGTGGCCTCAGCTAACTAATCGGTGGCTTCTAGGTCTTAGCTGTTTACATTCTATCTTCAGTTTTCTTCCCCACCAGTGGAAACTGTTAGGACCTGCAAGTCTGAACTGATCATTCCAACAAGGGAGGGGGGGGAAAGAGTGATGTGAAAATGAAACTGTAAATAAGTGTTTTCAGAAAGAGACAATTAGGAGGTCTGATTAGGAATGGTTCTTTGATGATATGTTTCTGTCTGTCTTTCCGTTGCACCTTGGACTCACCAGGTGTAGGCTGTTCCTCTTCCTACCTGTTACCTTGCTGTTCAAACACTGTTCTGTTCACTTTGTCTCCTCATGCCCTCAGCCTCGATATTTGGCACCAAATTTTTTCTGCCAGTTGAAAATTCTTAAGCAGCTATTAATTCCCATTATAATCAATGTAAAAACTTCAGTGTTACTAATATTGAAAAGTTAGTTTAGCATCTAGCTGGAAATATTGATAATATGGATTTGTAACTTATATTCGTATGTTTCTGAAGCAATCAGTTAACTGCAGGAACATCAGAGTTCCTTGTTTTACTAGATGATGGAGATTTGTACAGAGCTAGTAGGAACTGGTATTAACAGCTGCCATATAATTAGGAGTCATTTTTTTGGCTTAAAATTAAGGTGATGCACATTATATTTCAGTAAAACATTTTATTTTGATGCAGAAATTAGAATATGAGAGCTCATTAAGGCAAAGGCGACATGAAAACCACAGGGGGTGAAGTTCATTTTTAGTAGTCTGTGGACAGATGATAACCAGTCTTTGGCCTAGTATGATCTAAAAGGGCGCACTGCTTGTATAAATGCATTCACATGTTGAAAGTGGTTACTATTTGGCGGTTGATCCAGTGACAAGGTCACAGAATGTGTACGTCATGGCCAACTAATGGTGACGTGTAGCTTGAGTTTCTGTTTGGTGAATGTGTTTGAAATGGTTCTGGAGAAACTTTATTATTACCCCAATGAAGGCAAAACCCATGCAGTGATTTTTTTTTCCTTGCCCTCTGTCCTTTGCAGATGAGAATCCCAAGGCCAACCCCAAACTTTACATGTGTGTGTGTGAAGGCCTCTCTTGTGGGAATGAGGACCACTGTGAAGGCCAGCAGTGCTTTTCTTCCCTGAGCATCAACGATGGCTTCCACGTCTACCAGAAAGGCTGCTTCCAGGTCTATGAGCAGGGGAAGATGACCTGTAAGACCCCACCATCACCTGGCCAAGCCGTGGAGTGCTGCCAAGGAGACTGGTGTAACAGGAACATCACGGCCCAGCTGCCCACTAAAGGTTCCTGTGGACTCTTCTACTTCTAGATCAAGGGGTTTTGTTAGTGTTATCCCAAGTCTGTGTGGGTTAAAGATTGAAGTAGCCATGAGGCTTTCCTCCTACTCTTTGAACCAGAGGCGTTGGTTGACCACGAAGGTAGCTTTTGCTGAGGAAAAGAAAGGCATGCCCTTTTGGCCTCTAAAAGCAGGACAGACATAGTGGGAAATGTGTGTGGTGACATCCACGTGGGGGATGGCTTGGCTGACCAGTTCTTTCTTGGCCTCCACAACAGGTGAACGGTTCCCCACATCCTTTTCTGTTAAGGAGCCATGATGTCATTCATAATTTCTGCTTAGGAAATACTCATCCATATGTCCAGTGTGTGGGAGGAAAATGGAACACAAGACTGGTGTCTGAATGGAATGCCTTTCCTTTTTTATGAGGAAGGAGCCAGAGAAAGGCTTCATACCCTCTTCTTCCCTATCTGAACCCATCCCTGAAACTTGAAGCCAGATGAGATTTCGCATAAACCCAAATAGCTTATGTGGAGTTTTCTCCCTGCTGTATTCAATACAGATTCCAAATCCTATGAACATCAGTCCTCCTCTGAAACTGTTTCCTCTTAAAATTAGCCCTAAGTTGCTATCAAAGTCTCTGCAAATATTAATATAGACTCACTCCAAGCCAAATTTATTCTCTTAATGTATAGTATGTTTCCAATAGGTATAATTCTTTAATTTTACACTCACAAAAGAAGAAACAAACCGAAAGAGTGGATCAGGAGAGGCTGCTAGGAGCATTCACTGCCAGAAATATCAGCCAGCAAGGGAGGAGGCAGAAAAATGAAAAAGGCTGACAAGAGATAATATTAGAGCAATTTTGAAGTTATGGTGGTGACTTTAAGGCATGTACAAAGGTTTAAATTCTGGTAAGCAAATAGGGTTGGATAATAAAAGAAGGTTTTAAAAATGAGAGATCAAGTATTTAAATGGTTAAAACTAAAAGAGTACTTGATGGAATAAACTTTTAACACTTTGTGAGTTAAATTTTTATTGATTGGGTAAATGGATATGAAGAAATGACTGCCTTCACACAAAAATTATGATATCAACAGTATGAAGTTCCTAATCTGCCGAGAATTTGCTAGATCCTAACTTTTAATGGCATATATATTTTCTTTAAGAAATTTTTAATCTAAATAAGGAGGCCACAATATTTATAATTTAAAGTTGTATTTCATTAGTTTTGCACTTTATGTACAAATGATGTGTACCATGGAGTATCTATCGTGTGTGCCAAGTTGTTGATTATGTAGGCTAGGAAAGTTAAAGAAATATATAAGGGAAGTTAGGCTTGAGTTAGATTGGAAATTAGGATTGCTAAAGGAGCCAGGAACATGGAAACCAGCAAGGAATATGCAGGGAAGAGCAGAGACTGGTGATATAATGTTGTGAAGGGGTCTGAAATTCAGAGGTGATTATTGTTTTGGGACCCTGTAATTATGGACCCTGACTGTCCACCTAAGAAATTTTGATTTAGCTCACTAGGTAAGTAGAAAGCTTTTGTGAGTATTTGCTCTAGTAATGTGTGGAGTGTTTGAGTGAATGCACCCATGTTTGAATGGATAATATTATGATGTCTTAATGAGGGAGTAAATCAGTGAATCAATGTTTGAATAAGTGAGTAAATGAACAGATGAATGAATAGGTTCCTAGGCAGAAATCATGTTGTGAAAAGATCAGTGAGAATTCAGCAACAGACACCCAAGATACATTTAAGAGAGAGAACACCAACTGGGTAATTGGGTTTTAACTCAGCACCTTCTCGTAGGGATATTACAGCATAGTGTATGTCTGTAAGGGCTTGATGATGAAAATTCTTACATCAAATCCAAGTTAATAAGAGTAGTATCAGAGATTTGTACAGTACTGTACATTGTAAAAGCACTCTCACATACATGCATAAATACAGTTGATTCTCAGTGGAATTTTTTCAAACTACATCTGTGTTTAATTAAATGATGTTTAAAATGCCTGGGCCATTGGCCAGGTATTAGGAAGTATTTTAGTTTTAACACTTTGTGAGACTGTGTGGTCAGCATCAGGAGCTACTTGTTAGGATATTGGTTATGCTAAATAGTAAATAAACAGTGATCCTTACAGCCAATTACCCTTTTCTCCCCCATCTCCAGGGAAATCCTTCCCTGGAACACAGAATTTCCACTTGGAGGTCGGACTCATTATTCTCTCTGTAGTGTTCGCAGTATGCCTTCTAGCTTGTCTACTGGGAGTTGCTCTCCGAAAATTTAAAAGGCGCAATCAAGAACGCCTCAATCCCAGAGATGTGGAGTACGGCACCATCGAAGGGCTCATCACCACTAATGTTGGAGACAGCACTTTAGCCGTGAGTTTGTGACCCCACAGGGAATCAACCCCAAGCATACCGAAGATGGCTGAAGACACTGTCTTATTCTGAGTGTGAAACACTAACCAGGACGCCTGAATAATGCAGGCACATGCTATTGGTCACTTACGTGCTAAGCAAGCATATGCTGGCACCTGTTTAGTCTCCCCTACATCACAACCTCCATTTTAGACAGACATTTAAATAAGGGAGGGTATTTTAGTAGATTCTTGGCAGTTACTTTTCTTTTGGGAGTAAGAGAAAAGGGTCAGAGAATGGTTGCCTGCAGTTTTGGAGGGTTTGGAATTTGTGGTACTCAGTTACTCTATTTTTAGCAATAAAGTGCTTAAAAAAAACCCCCACCTTTTGCTTCATATTAAAAATCAATTTCCCGTCTAGAATATTTCAACACCCTGTAATTTAAGACTTTAAAACTTGACATCCCCCAAAAAGCAGCTATTAAATGTTTCATGCTCTTGTGCTGCCCCCTGGTGGAGTGCAGTCATTTGGTTAAACCATTGCTGTCCAGCATTGTGTCTTTTAAAATTTTAAGTAGCCACCTTCAAAAAAGTAAAAAAAAAAAAAGCAATTGAAAATTAATTTTAACAAATATTTAACCCATATATACAATTTTTATCATAATATTTTACCAATAATAAAATTAAAATTTTTATCAATAATAAAAAATTATTAGTGAGATATTTTACATTCCTGTTTTTGACCTAAGTTTCCAAGCTCTTGTGTGTATTTTCCATGACAGAATATATCAATTCAGGCTAGCCACAGTTTACTGGCTCAGTGGTAACATGTGCAACTACCCTATCGGACAGTACACAGTTAGAAACCATGTATTCATGCATTTAAAAACAACTCTTTGGCATCTTTTAAAATGATGAAACAACATTAAAAAGTGACCGTCTTCCTTCAGTTACTTTTAAAAATTATTTGTCAAGTGTTAATTTTAAAGAAACTTTCAGTGGTAAAAGGATATCACTTGCTATAAATAGAAAGTTACCATCAAGTGCAAAATGAAAATGTAATAACATTGTACCTGGACAGTATATTGAGTCTGATGCCTATTCTGAAAAAGGCAAAGATTTGTGGGTGTTAGAGAGGTGTGAAAGACATGCCAGTACCAAGTCGAGACGACTCCTTGTCATAATCCCTTGAATTGAAAGACAGCTAATGCCATGCCCACGTATCATCCAGAACCATCTCGTGTTAAGTCTTGTTCTGCTAGTTCTGCACTTACACTTGCTCTGCAACTTCATTTTTTTTGCTGAAGAGGACTTCCCCTTGCCAATGGCCGTCTTTGTAACTCAGGTGCTATACCTGGACAACCGCAGGTCCCACCCTGGCAGGTTGTCGGAACATTTGGTAGTGGCTGATACAGGCTGGGAAACATTCCATCCTACTGCCTGCCCCATCACTATGAAAAAGTGAGAAGTAATCTTGTGTAGCACCCTTTTACCTACCTATTTAAATTGTGGTACAGTAGAACCAGGGAAAGAGGATATAAGGACATTCCATTTGGAAAAGTAGAGAAATACGGTTTTCCTCTAGAAATATACTTAGAAGTTTATTTCAAGCGTTAAAGAAAATTAAATGAGTTTATTGAGTTAGCAGCTAAAAGATGTGGGGATGAATCTTGACAAAGCTTCTGCAAAGCAAGATTCTAAAATAGATTAGTCAGAACTTCATTCCTCGGAGCTGCTCACATAACTAATTACCAAGGGCAATAATAGGAATATCTAGTGTAAATTACCATTTAAATAGCTTTTAGAATTTTGAAAGAGGAATGGGAGTGTATGCCAAAATAGTCTTCTAAACTCAACCATGTCAGGTGACAGTATATCATGATATAACAACACAGTAGAGAATGCTATTTTAAACAAGTTGCCGTTATTGGCCTACATACTTGTTTATTTAAGCGATACTATGTTGAGTATAAATTTACATGATTCAATAAAGCATGCCCTTACTATACTGCTCCCCTACATTGAAAAAGAAGCCTTAGAATCCAAGAGTTAAGGTAGATGTTTATTAGTCTTTGTTTGATCCCCCCCCCCCACACACACCTCCCGAAACCTATGAACTGGGTTTAGAACCAGGATTACACATATGGAAAAACAACACATTGGTTTAATTTTCAGAATTATTCTTCCAAAAAAAATTGAACAAATAAAGAGAAAAAAGAACGGCAAGAGGGTGAATAGTTAGAGAGATGTGAAACTCTGCTTCATCTACACTTTTTCTTGTTGATTATCCCTTTGTGGTTTTTAAGGGTTCTAAATTTCTTTCATTGGATGTTCACCTTTTGGTAATTGTGCTGATCAACAGTACTTTGCTCAGAGGAAGTGCAAGAAGATGAAACTCACACAAATCAATGTATTGCTTTAACAGGCCAGCTAAAATGTTCGGGAAAGATGAGCTTTGGGGGGATGTTAGCTCAACATTACTGCAACCTTACCAAGATCAACTATGGGCACCATATTGTTTAATACAAATCATCCATGCCTGATACCAAAAGACTTGTGCTTACTGGCTGGTGCTGAGAATAAGAAGGAAAAGTTCATGAATGAATTAACCAGAAATCTTTTTGTGAACATGTTCATGGTAGAAGTCCATTTGGGGCACTGGTTTTACCCTTTCAGTGGAAGTTTTATTTTTTTC